AAAAAGGTGAACAGCCTGGGTGGGACCCTCTGACACACTGCAGAAGAGAGGGCCTTGTGCTGGAAGCTCGTTAGCTGCTGTCGTCTCTGACACTTCCTCATGCTTATAGTCTATGTCTGTGTATATTCTTTTTTTTTGAGACAGTCTTGCTCTGTTGCCAGGCTGGAGTACAGTGGCGTGATCTCAGCTCACTGCGACCTCCACCTCCTGGGTTCAAGCAATTCTCCTGCCTCAGCCTCCTGAGTAGCTGGGACTACAGGTGCATGCCACCATGCCCAGATATTTCTTTCTTTATTTTTTTTTAGTAGAGACAGGGTTGCACCAGGTTGGCCAGGATGGTCTGGATCTCTCAACCTCATGATCCGTCCATCTTGGCCTCCCTAAGTGCTGGGATTACAGGCATGAGCCACCGTGCCTGGCAGTCTGCGTATATTCTTTATCCACCCATTACTTTCTCCACGCTTAGTAGTGAAGTTCCTTCAGGAAGTTTCTCTGTTCCTGGACTGGATTAGGGAAAAAGCCAAGTGTGTCCTGGTTCTACTACCAGCTCTGGGTTAAGAGTGGACATCTCTAAAGGTTTGGCTCACACAAGGCCAGAAAATCAAAGTAAAACAACCACAAGGGGAAATGAAACTCTTGGGAGAATTTTGTGAGCTCTTCTCCTCCCTAGAAATGACACAGTATAGCAGTTTAAAATTTGGTCTCTAGGCCAGGCACCATGGCTCATGCTTGTAATCCCAGTATTTAGGGAGGCCTGAGGCAGAAGGATCACTTGAGGCTGAAAGTTTTAGACCAGACTGGGCAACATAGCAAGACCCCATTTCTACAAAAAATTTAAAAATTGGCCAAGCATGGTGGCACATGCCTGTGGTCCCAGTTACTCAGAAGGCTAAAGTGGGAGGATTACTTGAGCCCGGGAGTTCAAGGCTGCAGTGAGCTACGGTGGTACCACTGCACTCCAGCCTGGGCAACATATCAAAACCCTATCTCAAAAAAATTTCAACTCTGGTTCCAGGCCTCCATATCTTGGTTCTATTACTTACTAGCTATGTATTCTTGGATGAGGTACTCTTTGGATTCCCTGTCTGTTAAAACAATCATCCTAACTGCTGGGTGCAGTGGCTCACGCCTGTAATCCCAAAATTTTGGGAGGCTGAGGCGGGCAGATCACTTGAAGTCAGGAGTTCAAGACCAGCCTGGTCAACATGGTGAAACCCCATCTATACTAAAAATACATATATATATATATATATATAGCCGGGCATGGTGGCAGGTGCCTGTAATCCCAGCTATTTGGGAAGCTGAGGCAGGAGAATCACTTGAACCCAAGAGGCAGAGGTTGTAGTGAGCCGAGACAGTGCCATTGCACTCCAGTCTGGACAAGAAGGAAACTGTGACTCATAAAAAAAAAAAAAAAAAAAAAAAGCAATCGTCCTCATTCTGTTTTGAGAACTAAATGAGATTTTTTTTTTTTTTGATGGAGTCTCACTCTGTCCCCCAGGCTGGAGTGCAGTGATGCAATCTCAGCTCACTGCAGCCTCCGCCTTGCAGTTTCAAGTGATTCTCCTGCCTCAGCTTCCCGAGTAGCTGGGATTACAGGCGCCCGCCACCATGCCCGGCTAATTTTTGTATTTTTAGTAGAGACGAGGTTTCACCCTTTGGGCCAGGCTGGTCTCAAGTGATCCTGGCCTCAGGTGATCCGCCTGCCTCAGCCTCCCAAAGTGCTGGGATTACAGGTGTGAGCCACCCTGCCTGGCTAAATGAGCTAATTCTTATGAAATGTACTCAGCAAGCGCCTGGGACGCAATAAGCACTCAGAGGCCGTCAGCTCTCCTCATGTACCTGCTGTGGTAGCTCCAGTCCGCTCAGTCTCAGAGAGATCAGCTAGCAGCTAGCTCCTGCCAAAGGCAAACTTCTTTTGAGAGGGAGATGGCAGATATGAGCCCTTAGACTCTTAGGGAAATAAGGTCTTATAGAGTCTGGTAGACTTGCCCAGATTAAATGGACACTTTTGGAAAGTTTGCTCTCCCTTGTTCTGGTTGGAATTAATTCAGCCTTGTCTCTGCGATGGCCACTGGTGAAGAGCTCATCACCTTTAATCAAGGTATATATAAATATTTTGTTTGTTTGTTTGTTTGAGACAGAGTTTCGCTCGTTACCCAGGCTGGAGTACAATGGCGCGATCTCGGCTCACCGCAACCTCCGCCTCCTGGGTTCAAGCAATTCTCCCGCCTCAGCCTCCCAAGTAGCTGGGACTACAGGTGCGCACCACCATGCCCAGCTAATTTTTGTATTTTTAGTAGAGACGGGGTTTCACCATGTTGACCAGGCTGGTCTTGATCTCTTGACCTCGTGATCCAACCTCCTCAGCCTCCCAAAGTGCTGGGATTACAGGTGTGAGCCACCGCGCCCGGCCAATCGAGGTATATTTAATTGGTCAGGCTCCCTAGCAGATTTTCTGAGGTCTGGAACTAAATTTGAATCATTCTCCTATCTCAAACAAACCTCAAAACAAAAAGATTTTGATGTGGGCAACTCATTTACTCCTCCCTGAATCTCCAAGGAGAGATCTGCAGGAAGCTTCCCAGAGGAAAGGTTCTCTGTGGCTCAGAGAAGAGAGCACTTAAATAGGAGCCACAGCTGGGCACTATATACTAGAAGTATACACAAAAAAATGATTAAAACATGCTCATGGCAGGGCACGGTGGCTCACTCCTATAATCCCAGCACTTTGGGAGGCCAAGGCAGGTGGGTTCCCTAAGATCACGAAGTCGACAGACCAGCCTGGCCGACATGGCGAAACCCTGTCTCTACTAAAAATACAAAAATCAGCCAGGCATGGTGGTGGGCACCTATAATCCCAACTACTCAGGAGGCTGAGGCAGGAGAATCACTTGAACCCAGGAGGCAGAGGTTGCAGTGGGCTGAGATCACACCACTGCACTCCAGTCTAGGCGACAGAGCAAGACTCCGTCTCAAAAAAATAAACAAACTTGCTCATGGCCAGGCATGGTGGTTCACGCCTGGAATCCCAGCACTTTGGGAGGCTGAGGCAGGCAGATCACAAGGTCAGGAGTTCGAGACCAGCCTGACCAACATGGTGAAACCCCCGTCTCTACTAAAAACAAAAGTTAGCTAGGCGTGGTGGTGGGAACCTGTAATGCCAGCTACTCAGGAGACTGAGGCAGGTCGAGACTTGCTTAAACCCAGGAGGTGGAAGTTGCAGTGAGCCAAGATCACACCACTGCCAAGATCACACTCCAGCCCAAGCAATAGAGCAAGACTCCATCTCAAAAAAAAATAAAAGAAGAAGAAGAAAAAGAAAAGAAAAAGAAAGTAACCCCCACTTCATCACCTCTCTGGGTGGGTAAGAAGTCAAATGTGGTGACCCTCAGGACAAGCCAGTGTTTTGTAAATGTCTCCACCAGATATCTCATTCCCAGCAGTGGGGAAGCCTCGCCTCATTAAATGGCCTTTGGCCTCTGTTCAGCCTCCAGGGGTGGGTGTTCCAGTAGAATTCCTCTTTAAATTTTGAATGTCTTCATGTAGCAAAAGGAAATCACAGAAGAGCTACAAGGCCCAGGCCAGAGATCTCAGAGTCTTCCTCGCCTGTGAACAGGACGGCTGCACAGCCCTGCCTATGGGCTGTGACTCTGCCGTCAGCTCTTTCCCGAGGAATGCAGCCTGGGCCGCCGCCTGCGAGGGCCCCCGCTGGGGGAGTCCATTCCCCTTTTCCCTCCCTCCATTTGCAATCACTATTTATTTATCTTTGAAAGTTCAAGGAACCCGAGAGCCTGCAACTGGGACAGATCTGTGGAGCCAGGGAGGGAAAGTGAAGAGGCCAACGTCTAGGCCCCCTGCCTGCCGCCAATGCCAATGCCAGCGGGCACGGGAGAAAAGCCACGTCCCTATGTAGTCGCTGGAGACTGGGCTGACAGGCACAGGGGCCCTGGAAAAGTCCACGCACACACCTGCAGAGCTAAGCTCAAGAAAGAAGGTAGCGCTCACCTTGGGGATGGCTTGGATCAGGGAGTGAAGAAGAGGGAACAGGAGTCCTGCCCCATCCTGGCAGCTCTCTGAAGCAGCAGAAAGGTGAGCCTCTGTGGGGAAACAGACCCCTGGGCTGCACTTCTTCCTGCCTGTCCCCACCCTTGGTTCCTGTATACTGCAGGCAGCTTTATTTTTTCATTTTTATTTATTTATGTGTTTGTTTGTTTTTGAGATGGAGTCTTTCTTTGTTACCCAGGCTGCAGTCTAGTGGCACGTTCTAAGCTCACTGCAACCTACACCTCCTGGGTTCAAACGATTCTCGTGCCTCAGCGTCCCAAGTAGCTGGGATTACAGGTGCCCGCCGCCACAGCCAGCTAATTTTTGCATTTTTAGTAAGGACAGGGTTTAACCATGGTGGCCAGGCTGATCTCAAACTCCTCACCTCAAGTGAACCGCCCGCCTTGGCCTCCAAAAGTGCTGGGATTACAGGTGTGAGCCACTGCAGGGCCTGCAGACAGCTTTATACCCACCACTAGCTGTCAAGGTCATGCCTACCAAGGCCACCAGTCCTCTGCCTTTGGAAACCACGTGCTCCTCCTCCCCACCACACTCTCTCCTTCTAATGCCACAATAAACTGGGGACCAGGCAGAGCCCCATTTCAATCCCAGAGATCAGCTATGCCAGCAAGCTGGGGGCTGCCTCCACGGTCAGACAGTAATAAGAGGCAAAGCGAAGTCTGGAATAGGGATCTCCAGATCCCTGCGCAGTGCTCTTTCCACACCCTGCTGCAAAGCCCTGCTCCTCTTCATCTACTGTTCCCTTGTTCCCACTCACTGTTCCCAAAACGCGTGTACACACACACACACACACACACACACACACATATTCTGTCACACACATGCACACACACTCATGCATACATTCTCACACACACACGCACGCACACACACTCACACACAGCTTTGTGGAAAATGTAGGAGGCACAATCCAGCCTTGTCTGCCTTGGCCTTTGACCTCTCCTTGGCCGAAGGACAGGCACCCCAGCTGAGCGAGGTCACTGCAGCGGAGGAGGGTCTGCTGCCTCCTTCGTCTTGGCTGCCAACCTCCTGCGGCGGCCTTCACCGGAGCTGGAGGGAGAGTGAGAGCCAACTTCCAGACTGACCATCGCGTCAGGAGCCAAGGGAAACCTCAGAGCAGAGCACCAAGTTCAACCCAAAACAGGGCACCCAGATGTCTCTGCCCAAGCCCGCGGGTCCAGGAGGGCCCCAGCAGCCTGGGGGTGCAGGCTGCACCAGCACAGGCGAGGGAGGTTTTGTGGAAGGTCGTGGTGGCAGGCTCAGAGGTCTAAGATGGGCCCGGGGACGGGGATGAGCGGGAGAGGAGTGTTTTGGTTCGGGGCGGGCGCGGGGACGCAGGGTCCTGGAGCCAGCTGGCCCGCCCCCACTCGGCCGAGGGCCTCGGCCTGGCCGCTAGTCAGACGGCGCTAGGGCCCCGCGGAAGGCCCGGGAGGGCGGGGGCCGGCGGCGGGAGCGGCGCGGCGCGGAGCTGCCTCCATCCATGGCACGGAGCGGCGGCAGCGGCGGCGGCAGCAGAAGCCCGGCGCGATCCGCTAGGTCCCAGCCCAGCGCCCAGCAAGCAGGCGACGCGGAGGGGCCGGGCCTCCACCGGGCCGAGGGCCGGGCGCTGAGACTCGGGCCGCGCCGCCGGGGGCCGCCCGCGCTGAGCTGACAGCTGCGCCAGCGTCCTCCCCGCCGGGGCGCTCGCCGGAGATGCCCCCGGGGCGCGGCGGTGGGGACCCCCGGGCTCGCCTCCGCCCAGGGCCCCCCGCCCGGTCCTCGGGCGCCCCGGCTCCCCGCTAAGCACGCCTCCCGCACGCCTGGGTCCCTCCGGCCGGCGCGCAGCCCGGCCCCAGCGCTGTGGGTCCCCGCGGGGAGATGGGTTGATGGGCGCCGGGGGACGCAGGATGCGGGGGGCGCCCGCGCGCCTGCTGCTGCCGCTGCTGCCGTGGCTCCTCCTGCTCCTGGCGCCCGAGGCTCGGGGCGCGCCCGGCTGCCCGCTCCACATCCGCAGCTGCAAGTGCTCGGGGGAGCGGCCCAAGGGGCTGAGCGGCGGCGCCCCCGGCCCGGCACGCAGGAGGGTGGTGTGTGGTGGCGGAGACCTCCCGGAGCCTCCCGAGCCTGGCCTTCTGCCTAACGGCACCGTTACCCTGTGAGTACCCTATCAGGCCAGCTCGGCCCGAGCTGGGACGGGGGACTAGGGGCAGCGAGACGAGAGGGGCGGGAGCAGGGGGAAGGGGGCGATACCCCCACTTCAGAGATTCAGGCGCCGGGAGGGGAGGGTTGGAGGAGCAGCGGGGAGACTGGGGCTCCTGGAGTGCGGAGGCGGGAAGCGGCTGCGGGGGGCAGGCGCGCCCCTGATAGAGGCACCGAAGGCGCCCACTCACCTGCACAGGTGAAATGGAGTGCACGCCTGTAGGGCACCCACGCCCCGGGTTCCAGACTGGACTAGGGTTGCGGACTTTAAGACCTGAGAAAGGTGAGAGCGGGGAAGGCTTAGGAAAGATGGACACCCGTGGCCCAGGACGGGGCTGTGTTCCTAACCACTGCGGACGCGTCCGGAATCCGGCTGGAGGAGTCTCTGGATTTACCCGCCTGGCCTTGTCCCTCCCATTGGGGTCATCCCATCCATACCCCCTGCCATGCCAGCGCCGCTTCCCACCGGTCTCTTTAGAGCAAGGGGAGGCTGGGCTCGGGAAAGTCGGCCCTTGGAATGCGGGCGCTTCTGGGCTGCGGGAGACCCTGGCGTCCCGCTAGTTCTAGGGCCCCTCTCCCACGGCGCCGTTTGTGCGGTGAGCTCTGTGCTGGGTCCCGCGTCCCTGCCTCTTCTTTGCCCGCCCCCCGGAAATAACTCGAGCTCTGGCTGTTTCTTGATTGACTTCGCGCAAAGATTGCCAAGAAAGAAAAGAGGCTGGGGAAGCGGGATCCCCCCACCGCCGCCCACCCCGGCCTCATCCCGCGACTTCTCTCTCAGTCAGGGCCTCAGTACGCCCTTGCTTTGCTGGCAGCGAGCGCGGTGGCGCCGCAACCCGACCCCAAGCCTCCTCCAACGGGGTCGCAAGTTCCAGCAGCTGCGCGAGCATTGGCGACCCCTCCCAGCCGCAGAGGTTTCCTGCGCCGGCCACGTGCTCGCAGCTCCACGCACGCCGTGGACTTGAGGGTCGGGCGTCCGCGGCCGCCGTTTCCTTTCCTGTCCCAAATCGAGCCTAAGAGCCGCTTCCCTTTCCCTGTCCTCCTAACCCCAGTGGCAACCGTTTCTCCACCGCCCCTTGCCCGGAGTCCCGGCTGGCCCAGTCTTTTCGATTGTGTCCAGAACAATACAGTAACGCCTCTGGTTGGGTGAGTTCAGAGACTGCCCGCTTCCTGACAGGACACAACTGGTCAACCTCTGACGCTGGCCGCCCGGCCTGCATTTTCCCCAGCCCGGGTGTATGTGTGTGTGCCTGTGTGTGCCTTAGGGGTGGAGGCGGTGTGTTTGCTCGCTCCCGCCTCCGGCTGCTCAGGGCTAAGTGGCCAGGAAAGGCACCTGTGGCTGTTCAGGGCTGCTCTCTCTGAGTGTCCGCTGGGGTCTGAGGGTCCAGGCAGGCCTGGGCATTCCCCAGCCCACTCAGTTCTGGAGGAGAAAAACGCTTGCTCTGAGGAATAGTCGGTCGTGTCTGCCTTGAGTCCCAGCTGCATAATAATTCAGAACTGAGATCTGGGCGTGCATGTGTGCACACTCCAGTGTCTGCTTATGCACATTTGTGGGATGCGCATTCTCTGCGTTTCTGTGTCAGGGTTAGGGAATCCTAACATATCAAAGGCAAAAGGAAATGGCTGGGGGAGGGGGGGTAGAGGGGATGGATAGAAAGTCGGTTTTGCAGTACATCTTAAAATGATCAGGCCATGGTTCATTCCCATCCACACCACTTCAAGGAGAGAGTGGGGCCAACTCTTGGTAAAAATGCATAAGAACCGGGTGGCAGCAAAGGTGACCCCTAGTTCACCCTCCCATCCCAAACCCTCCCAGGCCACTGACCCACTGGCTTAGGACAGGATATCCTTTAAAGAGCAGCCTTCAAGCCTGGCTCTGGATTCCCCACAGGGACACAGACAGGGCAAGGCCAGGGACGCCCTGGAGAGTCCAAGGGACCTTCAGCCTGGAGGGTAATGGAATCCTCAGTCACAGACTTACTGCTTAGCTCTTCCGCCAGGATCCACATAATCCTCATCCTCATGGCACCCCCACGCCCACCCCCCACTAGCTGTCTTTGGAAAGAAAAAGAACCCATGCTCTCCTTCAGCTGAAGCTGGGCAAGGGTTCCTTCCTTAAGCTCAGTCCCTCCAGCACCCCCATGCCCACCCCAGGATGTATCTCGAGGGAAGGAACAGGAGAAGGTCTATGTAGGGGCTGAAAGGGGATGATCCGTCTCCTCCCCATCGGGAAGAGCTATAGCTGACAGCCCTCTAAGAACAACAAAAACCCCAAGTTAACACAAGTAAAGCATAACTCATGTATTACTATTACGCACACACGTGTGCACAGGAGTCAATGAGGCTGAAACGCTCTCTCTGCAGGAGAGAGATATATGGACCAGGAGGTGGGAGGTGGCTGGCAGGTGATGGGACTCAGGAGAAGGTGAGCTGCACAGAAGCCAAGGTCGTCTGGTTATTCGGATGACACCTCTCAGATGATCTCTCGAAGCTGCCCTCCTGAAGAGTAGATGAGAAGTCTGTTTAGGTGTAGTGACGACTCGCCTGTCTCTTCTTCTCTTTCTTGGTTATTTGCTGAGATTGCTAGGGATATGGTAGTAAGACCATTGCCCTTCTTTTGGGGAGAAGTTTTACTCCATCAGGTAAGGGAATTCCAGGGGAAGTGCCCCCTCCCTGCCCTGGGGGCGCAGGGGACAAGATAAGTTAGCAGGATCTTAGTTCTGAGCTCCAAGTTCTCAGGCCCCCAAGGTCTCTCAGTGTGTCAAAGTGCCTGAACTTTGGGGTATCGCTCTCTGAGCCCCTGTATCTGGGAAGGAGGGAGCTGCCACTTTTTTTGCCCGGCAGCAAACGCACAAGAGCTGAGACCACCACATGCAAATGGCCAGCCTCGATTCCAAACTCCTCCTTCATACTTGATTATTTTTCTGCCATGAAGATTTTCCTTTTCACCTTTTAGCGTGTCACCTGGTGCGAATAAGACTGGAGCCCTTCATTGCTGCATTATGGCTCTATCCTCCCTCCCCATCTCCCCCACATTCCATGGAGGACCCCTTATTTTTCCTCCAAGATGGAGCCCAGGGGACCCAGGATTGACCCTTGGGGAGCCTGAGTGCTGGGGTCTGTTCAGGCACAAAGGCAGGGTCCTTGTCTATGGAGAGCCTCCTCCTGCGCTCCGACAGTCTTTCCTGCAGTCGAAGGTGACCGGTTCCCAGTCCTGTTTACCACCTCGAAAGCCTCCGGCCACCTCCACCCATTATCTCAACTCTGCCTGCTGTTTTTGCACCCCCCTTCTCCCCCATCCTTTGCATTTTTTTTTCTCTGGTGGATTTTCATTCCCAGTTTTCCAGGAAAGCTGAGCTCTTGGCTTCCTTCCTGATCCCTCTGTCCCACCCCACCCCCCAGGCTCCCGGTCCAGTCTGCAGGGCAGCTCTGGGCACCCGTGCTCCAGAACAGACAGAGCAGGAGCTTTTGTGGGCCTCCCCCAGGGAAAAGGTCCCTTGGGGGGGTGGCCTGTGAGAGGAAGAACCTGGGTGTGGAAGGAAGGTGCAGGCCACTGTGAGCCCCACTATTAGCTCAGGGCTCACTATCAGCTGAGGGCTGAGGTTCTCGGCTCTGTGAGTGAGTGAGGGGGAAGGGGGCTGAGGATAAGGAATTCCAGGAAAGGACTGTTTGTAGATAACTCCAGAAGGAGATCTGTGAAGACCTCCCAGGATAGCAGCCACTCCGAGGATACCAGCCAGTGTCATAAAGTCCCAGATGGCCTGGGCTCCAAAGGGTCTTAGCGATAAGGAAGTCCAGTCCCATGTCTTACAGCTGAGCAAACTGAGGCCAGGAGAGGGAGGATGCCGGCAGGGGCTGGTGCCAGGATGGGCATTGCATTCCTGCCAGGTGAGGGCCTCGGTGCTCACCTGGCTGGATTTGGGACTCATTAGACACAAAAGACTTTAAAAACCCGGTTCCTTCCCAGCAGGATCTGAGCCCTTTTGACCTGGGAACATTCCAGGCTGGGCCAGGAGAGGTCACTTTGAATTTCCCCAGAACAGGCAATTCTTCAGCCTGCTCAGCCTCCCATTCCGGGAGGCGGGGGGCGCCCACCACACAGGCTGCCCACCTAGGGGAGGAGACTCTGTCTGTCGCAGGTGTGCCCAGCACAAGCTGGGTTCTTCTGTTAGGAGTTCGGTGGTCTTGGTGGGGGAAGTTGAGGAAAATGGGCCTCATGGAAGTGGTTCTTGGGCACTGGTCTCCCTCTGGACCTCCGGATGCCGGCTGGGACTCACTTCAGGACCCCTTGCTACAGACACCGGGATCCAGTTAGGGGAATGTGGGCAAAGCCTGCCAAGCATCGTGCACATGGCCCGAGGGCAGGACCAGGATGCTGGTGGAGGGGCGGGCCCAGGCCGGCGCCCCCACCCCCTTCTCTTCCACCAGCTTTCCCCCATATGGTTCTCATAAGGTCTGGGCGCAGAGACAGCAGCCAGAGGAAGTGGCTGTGTACAGAGAGCTTTTGTGAGAGAAGAGGGGGAGGGGGAAAGAGTGAAGAAAACGAAGGAAAGACGAGAGGGAAGAAGACAGAGACAGAGAAGGCCAGGGCAAGCCCGGAGGCTGCAGCACTCACTCGCCTCCCCACCCAGGGGTACAGGTCTCAGCTGCAGCACTCCCGCCTGGGCTCCGGGACCTCACCTGTTCAAAGGGATGGGCCCAGCAGAAACCTCAGTCTCTCCTGGATTCCCATTGGAGAAGCTGGAGGTCGCTAGCTCAGGACCTGGGGATTCCTCCCTCTGTCCTCTGGGGCCTGGAGGCCCCTCCCCTGAGGGCTCTCTCTTCTGCAGGACGCTAGAGTCAGGGTCCCATCCTAGGGAGAACACTGGAACAGAGGTCAGAGCTCTCTGGGGCTCACTAGTGGAATGAAAAACGCTGCTGAGGCCATCATGTTGGCTCCAAAGGGGATGCTTGTGACTCCGCCCCCAGTGGGTCTGAGACCAGCAAATGGGTTATCGGCCAGAGTCACTCCTGCGAATGCATAAACCCAGTCACTCCTGAAGCCACCAAAGTCCCCTCCTGCTGGCTACCATGGCTCTCCCCTCTGTGATTAGGGAGGGGGAGTAGCAACCCCTCATCCTAGGGGGGAGTCTGAGAATTTCCCCCAAAGGCAGCGGCAAACCAGTGTAATTTGAACCTAACCATAAATTGACCCTTCAATGTGGGGTCATGTTTTTAAAGAAAGAGAGTGTTTCTAAGTTTATCCCACATGGGAGTCATTGGGAGAAGAACCCTTTACTGATGAAGAATAATTTCCAGCCACCTCTGAGTTGATTGCTGTCCTTCCACCCCATGGAGGCTCTGGCTGCTCCCCTCAGCAAAGCCCAGAGAGGGGAGGAGAGTTCCTGGAGGCCACACAGCCTGGACCCAGACACCGATAGCTTCCCCATCACGCCAGAGGTAGAGGCTGCCCCAGCCTCCCTGGGAGCAGCCAGAGAGCAGGGGTGGGGAGAGGAGGGAAATGGCCCGGGCTGGGGGACCAGAAGGAAGATCCGGTAACCGCTAGGAAGGGCTGCTCAGAGGGGCTGTTTATTTTCATTCCCCCAGCCCAGCCGCTCTGTTCTATTTACAGCTCAGACACTGACAGGACGAAGCTGCCTCCTCCCCTTCCTCCCTCCCCCAGGGCCCCCATCCTTCCCAAACTCCAGAACATTCCTTTGCTTTCAGGACTGGGTTATGAGGGGGAGGGGGCAGAGAAGCCATGGAGTGTAGCTCACACCGGCAGCCTCCCAGGACTCTCCCAGGCTCCCAGGACCCTCCCAGCCTCCCAGCCCTTGCCTGGGAACCAGGAGGGTGTGCAGGATGGATGGGGCCAGGTGAGGCCCCAGAACCCCATCTGTCACAGAAGAGCAAGCAATGGACAGGTTCTCTCCCAGGGAGAGCCCCAGGGAAAGTCCTGGGCAGGGAGTTCCAGCCTCAACAGAGGGGCCAGACATCTCCCAGCTGGAAAGGGAAGATCTGAGGCCCCACCTGCCTCTCCTCCTGCCTCTCCTCCTGCCTGCCCTCCTCCCTCCCCTCCTCCCTCCCCTCCTGCCTCTCCTCCCTCCCCTCCTGCCCCCCCTCCTCCCTCACCTCCTCCCTCCCCATGCCAGGGCTCCTAGCCTTGCTGGGAATTGTGTGTTGAGGCAGAAATTATGACTTCAGGCTTCAGGAGACTCAGTGTCCAGGATGGGAAAGGCCATCAGATAGAAGGTGTGGGGTCTCCAGTTTACCCCCAGGGAGGGGTCAACCTGCCCATGGTCACTCTCTCTCTCTCTCTCTCACACACACACACACACACACACACACCACAACTCTTAGCCAGGCAGCTCTAACAAGACCCCAGGGCTTCTGCCTCCGGTCCCCTCTGCTGTTAGTCTGTGCAGATGGGAACCCAGACAAAGCCACCAAGGGCAGCCACGTCTGTAGAAAGAGAAAGGGAGAGGAAGCACAACAGAGAGGTCTGGGGACTCCGAAGCTTCTCAGATCTTTTGAAAGCTTCACCACCCTCAGTCCCAAACACTGTCGCAGGCAGCAGGGGTCCTGGAGGCCACACCTGCCTGCTCTGCTGATGGCAAGGGAATTTTCTTTATTTTATTTATTTATTTTTGAGACGGAGTTTCGCTCTTGTTACCCAGGCTGGAGTGCAATGGCACGATCTCGGCTCACCGCAACCTCCGTCTCCTGGGTTCAAGTAATCCTCCTGCCTCAGCCTCCCGAGTAGCTGGGACTACAGGCGTGTACCACCATGCCCAGCTAATTTTTGTATTTTTAGTACAGACGGGGTTTCACCATGTTGATCAGGATGGTCTCGATCTCTTGACCTCGTGATCCACCCGCCTCGGCCTCCCAAAGTGCTGGGATTATAGGCGTGAGCCACCCCGCCCGGCCAAGGCAAGGGAGTTTTCTAATCAAAATGCAGACACGTGGGACTGGGATTTTAAAGGGGCCTAACCCCAAAAATAATACTTCCTGTCTTCTCTTGAGGAGGGTTGCCGAGATATAGGTTGGCAGACAGATCAGAATACAGGTTTTATTGCTGATAAAAGCTAGATTAGAAGACCTGGCTTAGAGGTTCAGCAGCAATGAGTTTAGTCAGAGCTACTCACCCAGGGGACATCCAAGGCCCACTCCCCCCTCCCCCCCCAGGGAGAGCCCCACGTTGAACAGCTCTGCAGGCAGGAAGGCCTGGGGCCTCTTTGCACACTGACCAATCAGAGGAGCCATCCCTGGGGATGGGGCAGGGCAGATGCCCTAATTCATTTTCCTCCACGTGGATACATGAGCCAGGGGAAAGGGGCTCCCTCGACCCCAAAATGGCCTAACAAATACAAACGTCCTCACAGGGTCCCCGTACAGAAGCACTGCATGGAGTATTTGAAATCAGTCTGACCCAGGAAATGTGCAGCCCATGGTCTCTAAAACGCCCTTCCAACTGTTTCCTCTTCCTCTCTGGCACCACCTCAGGTAGCTTCAGACAGTGTGACCCCTATGGGTGTGGTGTCCCAGAAGGCTGAACTGTGGAGCCAGGCTCACTCAGAGAAGGATAGGTGCTATCTCCTAGGTGTTGGGGAGAGAGAGGGAACTGGAAGTAGAAAGAAACTACCATGTGGCTTGGCGAAACCCAGGCTCAGCAGTGAACTCTCTGTTGACCGAACAGCCCCTCCATCCTGAGCTCTGCCCCCTATCACTCAGCCAATGCCCACAGAGAATCCTCACCCCATGGCAGGAGGCAAGAGACCCAGGCTCTGCCCTTCTGTCCTTACAGTCTCCTGAGACAGGTACCAGCGTGGTGGCATACCAGCTATTCCAGAGGCGGAGGCAAGAGGAGTTCAGGACCAGCCTAGGCAACGAAGTGACACCTCCATCGTCAACCACCCCTCAAAGAGGTCCGTTTTCATTACCCAGAAGCTTGGCTTCCCACTGGGGGGCTTTTAGATTATGTGGAGAAAATGTTTAAGGTCTGTTGGGGTTAATATCCCAGCCTCCACAAATCAGGTGGATACAGACACACACATACACGAACATTCTATCTTCACTTTTTATGAATAGAAGTTTGTAAAGATGCCATGTATGTTTTCTGTGTATAGGACTAGCCTGTTATACAAGGCTGAGTGCACAGTGGCTGTTAGGTAGGTCTGAGCAATGAATGAATGAATGAATGAATGAATATCTAAGTGTGATGATTATAGCAGACTGTGTTCCTTGTGCTCAAGCCAGGATGCCATGACTCCCAAATCCCCATCAAGGAATACTGATTACCCTCCACAAAAACCCATAGCCCATTTTCTTTTTCTTTTTCTTTTTTGAGACAGAGTCTCCCTCTGTCACCCAGGCTGGAGTGCAGTGGCACAATCTTGGCTTACTGCAACCTCCATCTCCCAGGTTCAAGTGATTCTTCCATCTCAGCCTCCCTAGTAGCTGGGATTACAGGCATGTGCCACCACGCCTGGCTAATTTTTGTATTTTTAGTAGAGATGGGGTTTCACCATGTTGGCCAGGCTGGTCTGGAACTCTTGACCTCAAGTGATCCACCTGCCTCGTCCTCCCAAAGTGCTGGGATTACAGGTGTAAGCCACTGTACCCAGCATTTTCTTAGGCTTCTGCCTCCAGAGTTCATCCCAAAGCCACAGATTGCCTTTCCATCCAAACCCCAGTTTCTTGGTTCCCCCAGCTCACCACCAAGCTGGGCTGCCCTTGTAACGAGAGTAGGTTAGAGAAAAGAGACCAGACCTATGAGAGAAGGCAGGGTGGAGCAGGACTTAGTGCAGGTCTGTTTTCTCTCATGGCCTTGGCCTCCAGCCCTGCCTGGACAGCCCAGCTTCCGGGCTGAGTTCAGGGGCAGTCTCAAGACCCAACTCCCTAAAGCCCCTCCCTGGGCCTCCTTCCATTGCCAGTCTGTGTTTAGGACTGCCCAGACAGGTGTCCAACCCACAGAAGGGTGGCAGGGAAGTGCAGGAGTGGGCAGGACACCTTACAAGTCCTCACCAACATTTACCTCCCTTGCAGTCAGGCTAAATGCATGTGAAGGCAGCCTCAGAGGAATGGAAGCCATAGGCCAGCCTTTCGCCTGATGCTGTGTGTTGAAGCAGGGCCTGTGCAGGCAGGCAGCCTCACTTTTGGAGGCCCTACTGTCGTAGCAACCATACTAAAATGTACCCACATCCGTCATCGAACATAATAATTATTGCTAATGACATAGTATGACCTTGGGTAATTATGTCATTACTCATTTGCTAATTTCCGCCTTTGCAGCATCTATATTTTAGAGGCAGTGCTTCTTTTTCAGGTTTTAGGCGTCTTTTGGGGCCCTGGAAATGCTCAAAGGCATAGCGCCTGCAAGGGAGGCCGAGAGGTGTGATTTCAGTGGGGGTTCAAGCTCCAGGGGTTTTTGACATCAGCAAGCCGACTGCCCCCTACCCGCTCTCTTATGGTTTCCCTAGGACACGGCCAAGCTGCCAGTGGCAAGTGTTGGAGATGGGGGCCTCCCAGAGTCTAGGAACCTCTAGGAACCTAGGATGGCCTGAATCTACGGAGGCTCCAGGATCTGACTCCCTGGAGAGCATGGGTTCCCCCAAGTCCAGAGAAGAGCTCCTTGGATCTATGTGGTTGGCAGGGGGCTGACACGTATGACTGTCCCTGTACATGTGAGAAACATTTAGTTCAGGCATGTGCTGGCACTGTGCCCCCCGGAGATGTGCCCATGTGACTCCTGCAGGGTCATCTTTGATGTCAGGGTGGTATCTGGTACATTCCTGTGGCTGCGCAGAGCCCACAGGGCCTCTCTGTAGACGCCAGCCGCTTGCTCCCTTGGCCTCTAGCCTCATTAATAGGAACTCTGCTTGCTTCTCTCCCCCAAAATAGGACCCCAGCTGGGAGAGAGTTCTGGAATGGACTCGGTGTGCCCCCTCTCT